TTATATGTTGACTCCAAAGTATCTCATTATGTTTAGACTGGACTCCACTGGAATCACATAATATAACTGGAACTCATAACCAATACACCTGTATTCCCTGATTATTCCTTAATTTTGCCAAAATTTCTTCCATTTACATGTTGTTGTAGAACATTGTTCACATAAACAGTATATAAACAATATACCATTATCCAGTTAGGTCAAGGATAAGCAAATATTTTCCGAAAAGGTCAAATAATAGGTATTTCCCATTTCCAACCTTGTCACTATAGCATGAAAGGAAGCACTACATAAACAATTGGGCACATCTGTGTTCCAATAAATCTTTACTTCAAAGGTAGGTATTTGTCCACTGGATTTGGCCAGTGGGCCATAATTTGCCAACCACTGATTTCAGTAATTCTTCCAAGCTAGTCTTAGTGTATGTAATTTGTTTGCCTAATGATCATGTTCCCTTTCCTGCCTTAGCCACTTTCCTGATCACAGTATGATCAAAACCCAACACCTGTCCATAACCTCCACTGCACCTGCCCTAGTCGTGGACCACCATTTTTTTACCTTTCCCTTTTACTCCTTCTAGAAGCCTAAATCATACAATCATTTAACTCTATCAAATCCTTCTGTCCCGTAATCTTGCCATTTCTCTGCTGTCTTCAGTAGATGTGTACCGGTGAATTTTAGTCATCCCACACAAAGGCTTTGGAACTGTCCTATATGAATGACACAAAAATCACAGAAATATGCTGCTTTCAGCTTCAGGGCTGGCTGGCTCTTGGGGGCCAGTAACCATGGTAACCACTAGAAGTACCCCGAAGACGTGTGATGGGCCCTTCAGGTCTGACATGGGCTTCTCTACCTCTTACTCTTCCCTTTCTGCTTTCTCATTTCTTTTTTTCTTCTTCTTCTTCTTCTGTTCCTCCTTTTTTTTTTTACTCCTTCCTGCACCCCATACTCAGAAGTATTTCTGAAGGAAAAGTACATGTCTATGCTCCTCACAATGTCAGTGCCACCAGTCAGGTGGGGATCCTTGTGTCTTGTTCTCTGCAATACATAGGACAGTGTCTAGCACGTAGTGGAAGACGTTTGGTGAATAAGTGAATTCATAAATGAATGAGGAGGCAAACGGCCTCCTACAGAGTCACTGTCATGGCATTTCTATTGCCTACCTTGAGTTACAGGCCAAAATCTACTAGTCTCACATGGACATCAACAATGAGGAATTACTTGCTGGAAATAATAAGCGTTCACTAAGATAAAATAAAATATTCCTCTGTGACCTTTTTCGTGGGGTACTATTCACTTCTCAGTCACTGCTGGCCAAGACCAACACCATCTCCCAGGATGCTCTGGGCTCCAAGGAGAATTTGGGACCCATGCAGCTTCCTTCAAGGGTTTCCAGAGAGTTTTCACATGTGGCCAGGAAGGCTAGGACGGTTCTGTTCCCTCTGGCACCACTCCTATTCAAACCATGTAAAAAGCTCAGCAAAAACTCCACATCCTGCTTGGTCTGTGGCTGTTACAGAGGCCAGCGTAATCATGTATGGCAGTCACATGTGGAGTCACACTGAATTCATCTGTCTACAATGTCAGAACCAGGGCTCCGGCCCCAAAATCCTGGCTGTTTCCAGAGCTTCTCTGAGTTGGCCTGCTTCTCCTCTCTCTGAGCAGCCCTAGTCAGGGTTAAAATTGGGCCCCTACTCTCCCAAGATCTCCCCCAACAGGCAGAGTTAATCATGCAGGCAGGGTACCCAGCACATTGCAACCCTGAATGCCTATTTAGTGAGCCTGGCTGAAGACTCAAAGGGAGCCCATAGGAAGGACCACTTTTAAAGATGCTCAACATAAAGGAAACCACCTCAGGCCACTAGGTCTCCTTGACCCAACTTGAGTCAGGCTTTCCTGAGCTTCTTCTCAACTAGGCCTCAGTCTTGACTCAGGAAAACTTGAGCATATCCTACCACAGCTTCTAACTGTCCAACTGCACTCCTGAGATGACATTAGCACCCTTAAAATGCCTTCACGCTTCTCCCTATCATTCTGCCTTTAAAGTGCTGTTACGCCTGGGCAAACTAAAACTGAGTTCAGTCCATGCTGGACTTCTACTATTTATGTTTTAGTAAACTACTGCTTAAAATCTGCCCTTACCATGTTAGTGCCTGGTTTTGTTTCTCCTTTTGACACGAGTCACTCTCAGTACTACACTACCCACTCACCCTTGCTGGTGCCCTGACTGCCCTAATCCAAACTCCCGGCACAGCAGATGCTGTCTCCACTTACCCTCACCCTCCTGGCTTCTGCTCTTCTATGGCCCCCTTTGTTACCCCTACTTTCTGTTTCTAAGAAGAAAAGTAGGAGTGACCTAAATTGGACATTTGGTTCAGGTGGGTGTTCCAGGTCATTGAAATAGATCACAAATGAGTTTATTAAAGGATAATGGGAAAGCAAAAACTTTCAGAGCTTCAGCCTGAAAGGAAATGGTAGTGGGACCTCTAGGCCTTGTGCCTTGTGTCTTCAGGCAGCAGCAGTTTGGGGCAGCTTCTAGAGGGGTCAGCGCCCATAACTAGAAAAGAAAACTCTTGTCATGGACCAAGCAGAGCTACTGGGGTATCGGTCCCTTGCAGAGGAGAAATTCCTCAGGGTTGATCTCTCTCCAGGCTTTGCTGTCAGCTTCTCAGAACCACCACAAACTTCATTTGCAGCCTTCAGGGTGTCAACTGGGAGTTTCCATGGGAATTGGGAAGTTTCTAGGTAACTTAATGTTTCTTCCCAAGCCTTGCCCAGGACCTGATTTATCAACTGCTTTAAACGTTTCAGAACAAATGTCAAGTATCTTAGGTTTTGTTATGCAATTATTTTTTATCAGTAAAGAATATGGTGAGGGGATAGCCCAACATCTGAGTTAAGTTCTTCCTTGTGATTTTGGGCAAGTACAAACTCTAAAGTACTGTGAATCTCCAGATGAAATGATGGTCATCTAATGTGTGATGATTGGAATTATGATATCACACATACTTTCTGTTATAAAACAATATTTAATCATCTCACATTTTTATAATTTCCTAGCATTATGCCAGGCAAATAGCCAATGCATAAGAACTGAATTATGGAGAGATTACATATGGGTGCTGGGGAATTCTGGGACTTTTTTTCCATTTTATGACCCATCTTCATGTGGTAATATATCCAGAAACACATCAAACCAACTCCAAAAGCAGAGGATATGAGCCATAGATATATGCAGCTCCCCCACAGCAGCCTAAGTAGATGAGAATACCTCCATTGTGTAAATGAAAAAACTCACACTCAAAATCATAGATTCAGGCCCAGCTCTGCCTTTTCCCAAATCTTGTGGGGCTGCCACTCCCTGGCTGACGCATTACCCTGATGTTTCCTCTTACAAGGTGCCAGGAGCACTGACCATGGGGTTATGAGGACAAGACCTAGTTATCTCAAATTCCAGGAAGAGCTTCACGGTGGGAGTGAGCCCTGACAGACGGCTGATGGGAAAAGCTAGAAAAGAAGGCATAAACGTAGGACCAGAAAGGGGAGAGTGTCAGCCTCCTGTCAACAGTCATTGCTGGTTTTTTTCTCTTTGCTGCTGTTTCTATGAAGGGACCCTTCAAGGTACTTTCCAGCGACTGTTTTAGGCTCTTGTTTTGATGAGCTGCAGCAGTTGCAGTTATGTGGGTGGAGGGAGCCCCCTCTTCTCACTTTCCTTTCCCTCCTTCCTCGTCTCAAGTTCAAGGGCAAAAAGAGCAATGAAAGAGCCAAAGGCTGTGGCAGAACTGGGAAATACCAGGCCTTGTGTTACACATACGTGTAGTAGATGCTCAGGGCCTCCTGCCCTTTGACAAAATGGGTCTGAGACCCTTGGGAGAAAGCCAGATATCTACCATCATCGTGGTATCTCCCTTCAACACTGACTGCCGAGTTGGATTTGTGTGTCTATCTGTAGTGAAGTAAGTGGTCAACCTGAAAACACATTGCTGTTTAGAGATTTTTCTCAATTTTTTTTGCAGATTAAAACTCAATTAGATGACCCAAGTCACACACTCAGATCAACTTTCCACATAGAGTAAATCCTACAACTTATCACTGACAGCTGAGCCGTACTGTGGACCAGAGACAGAAGGATGCTGTGATTGGAGGAAATAGGAAGACTGCAGCTTGCCTGTCTGAGAGATTGCAGGAGGAAGGGAAAGAGAGACAGGCTAAGGAGAACAAACTCTGGGATTTGATTCACCCCTTCTCTCGGGACCAGCCTTTGAGAAGGAAGAGAGCGGCCTTAGGCACTCCCAGATAAATAAGGGAAGCCTGGGAACCTCAGAGTTGGAAGTCAGAGGAAGAGGAAGTTTCAGGTTCCCAAAGAAGCCCAGCTATCAGCTTGGCAACATATCCACGCCGGCACAAGGCAATGGCTTAGCGAAAAGAAGGCAAGTTGGTGAGAGATGAAGTGAAGGCAGAAACACTGCACGTCCAGGACCTACGTGCGGAACACTGGAACCCCGATCGTTTCCAGGTGCCACAGCAAAGGAATGTGGCCATGCTGAGCTCACCATCACACAGCAAAGATCTCGCATGGCTTCAGAAAAGCCTTGGTGAATCCACATCAAGTTCAGGGGAAAAAAAAAAAAAAAGGCTCCTTAGGCTCCAGTGGGGGCCGCAGCTCATTATCCCAAAAGGTCAGATGAGGCCAGCAGCACCTCAGCAGACAACAGTACAGGAAGTTGCCCAACTCAGCCACTCTGTGGCACAGACTGAAGGGTAAATACAGGACACAAAATGGACCTAACTGTTCCTTCTTCCATGGGGTTGCCAAAGCCACGCCTATCCTCTATGATCGCACTGAACAAACATCACCAATTCATGTCTGTTTTCCTCGTACAATTACGCATAATGTCTCCTTTCTCTCACACACATTCTCTCTGCCCTGGATTCCTCTGCCAGCAGTGGTTGTAAAGGGAAGGAATGCTAGAGAAGCCAGGAGTGGTGGCGCTCACCTCTCACCCCAACCATTCAAGCGGCCAGAGGAGGAGGAGGATTGTCTGAACCCAGGAGTTGGAGGCCAGTCAGGGCAACGTAGTGAGACGTGCCTCAAAAATAAACAAACAAAAAATTATGGAATAAGATAGACATCGTGATTCTATGTAAAAATTAGAAAACTCACCTGTTTTTAAGATTCTGCTATATTCGCTCATCCACAGAGAACATTTTTGGAAAGATTTTGCTAATGGTATTTACCTGGGGGTAGAGGTGGACTTGGAAAGAATTGCAAGTGTTGTTTTTATATGCATTGTTTGCTAAACTAGGCACATGTTTTAAAATTAGAAAAAAAAATGTGTTCATTTTAGAGGGTGAATTACAATGGCCACTCAGTCCAGAATACAGGCATCCTCTCACAGAGGAGCCGGAAGGCAATGAAATCTGAGAGCTCACATTTTACCACCGCAGAGACTGAGTGCTCGCCTTACCCTTGGAACAGTTTGTATTACTGCACACAGGCCATTTACTAGATCATACTAAACATAGTTTTGTTTGTTTTTCCTATGACCTAGTGGGTGTAGGCTCATGAGGAAAAGCTGAACGGTAAGAGGGAAGCAAAGTAAACATTTTCTGTGCCCATCTGGGCAGAGTGTGAGGAGTTCTGTAACCGAGCTACAGTTGAATTCTGACTACTGATTTTGAAAGATTGGTTACTCACTTCTTCCAGTGGCCAGAAATTACACCATCCTCTCACCAGAGCATGGCCTGTTTTATTTCTCATTTCAGGGTTTCACTTTTGCTCCTCAAAGGTGAGCTACAACCAGTGAGGCCAGAGTTTCACACTCGATGTGAGAGCTGCTGTGGCCCTGTGCTGCAGAGAGCCGTAGGTAGGGGCTGGAGGTTGGTGGAACCTGATCAGTCCGACTTTTTCTTTCTTGGTTTTCTTTCTTTCCTCTCTTTTTGTGAGAGCAATAGCCTTCATTTTTGGAGTTTGTCTTTGTTGTTGTTTTGGTACCAGGGATTGAACTTGGGGCCTTGCACTTTTGAGGCAGGTGGCAGCACCACTGAGTTAAATTCCAGCCATCCTTCATTTTTAAAAGATAAAAAGAAGAAAAAGGAAAGAAGGAAAGAAAAAAGGTGTTTGTGTGTGTGTGTGTGTGTGTGTATTTAAATAACACTAGAACGATAGAAGGTTCACTGTGACTCTGTGCAATCGCCTCAGAACCTGGGCTACAAGACAAGGTCGCAGCTGGGTAAGGTCTAATGTGTGCTGCTCCAGCCACGGGTCCAGGTTTTGGCCTTGACTTGGCTGAGTGACAGGGTCAGCTCAGTGTTGCAGCTGGGCTTCGGGGTGTACAAGAAAACACATTGTACAGGTCTTGGGGTGCAGGGAGGCCAGATTCTCACATGCTCTGGGAGTCAGCATCATTCACGGTTCGCTGGTGTGCTTAGCCAGAGCGCAGCACACTCCCCACAGTTTGCCTCCAGGCACAGAGTCCCCTGTTTAGACTGACACATCCTTCTGGCATCTCCAGCAGGCTGAACACCACAGGCTGCAGATCTGTCTTGGTCATGCTGTTCATGGGAATGTTATTCATGGGCAAGCTCAGCAAGTCGCTGGGGTTTCTAAGACAATACACAGGAAAAGATGTTCTCAAAATAGCAGAGCTGCTGTACGCTGGTCATGGAAATGTCAGCGTCCCAGAATAGTCCTGTGTCTCCCCCATTGCCATCAAAGTGGCCCAAGGCCGGTCGTCGCCTATCAGCTTCTCAATATTCTCCAGGCCTATGTACAACACATAGAAAAGGCCCAGGCACTTGGCCAGATCAGGATAGAACTTTTCCTCAACCTTCCCCAACCAAAGCTTACCCCACCCCTTCTTCTAACAGACGTTCTTCTACTGGTCCAGTCACTCCCATGCTCTGGAAACCACCCCCAGTTTTTGTCTGTTGTGAGAGAGCAGGAGGAAAATAGACAATCGCCAGAGGCCTTCTTTTCCTAGAGATGCAAGAAGAAGAATCCGCACAGCCAATCTTGCTGAACCAGCCAGTCCCTCCACTGAACCCAGTGGCTGAATGGGTGTTGTCATTTGCTAAGTGTGCCATGATGTGGGACATGCAGGGAAGTTCTTGTGTACTGTTTCACAGCGAGTGAAATCCTGTTGTGTTCCTACTGGTATGAACCTTAGGGGGTTAGTAGATGTGTGTATTCGGTAGCTTTTCATTGCTGTGATAAAATCCCTGAGAGAGTCAACTTAAAGGATGTGGTATTTATTTCTGCTCAGAGTTTCACAGGTTTTAGTCCACAGTCACTTGGTTCTGATGCCTTGGAGCCCTGGTGAGGCAGAACATCATGGCAGGGGAAAGTGGTGGAGCGAAGTGGCTCACCTCATGGTGGACAGGAGGCCACAAGAGCAAGAGGAGGGCAAGGTGCAAATATATGCAACCTTCCTCCAATGAGGCCCCACCTCCGACAGTGCCAATTACCTCCCAGTAGTGCCATCAGCTGGGGACCACGCTTTCAGCATATCTTTTGGGGGGGCATTTTAAATCCAAACAACATGCTATTGCATCCAAATCAAAGAGCAATCTGATTCATGTTTTTCTGATTTCACGGCAACAGAAAGACCTCAGAACCTTCTCTTTCTCTGAGAGCTAGTGACCCACAAACCTAAGAATGAGGAGAGGCAGGGTCTGTAGATGTTGGTGATCAGGGATTCTATTACTGACTCTTCTCAAGTGTTCTGCATTCCTCTCTTCAGGAGTGAGATGTGCTTGTCACTTAAATTTTAGTATCAAGATAAGAGAAGTGAAATTAGTCCTTGTGGAGAGTCAAAAATTTTTGCTACATATGTGCTACACACTAGCCTGGCCTCACACTCTAACTTTGTGTTTCCTCTGTGATACACCATGTTTTGTCATTTGCAAGGCACACATTTCTCCACTCACAACTTAGAATATCTGAAATTAAGGGCATCTTAAAATTGGAATCCTTTTATAATCATTGCTTAATCATGATGTTCATGATTCCAAGTAACAGTCATGACACAGTTGTCTTTGTCCCCCAAATGCTTAAAATAAAGGTGCCAGCAGCACGACGTACTGTGACTTGAAAGAAAGTCCTAGAAATAAAAGTGTAAACACACTTTTAAGTCATAGGAACCAAACAGTGATGAGAAGAAGGTAGAGGAAGTGGTGAACTAGATGTGCGCCCCAACACTTCTGAAAAAGGAGACAAGAGTTGGCTGATTCTACATATTTGTAAGGTCCAGCTGAGAGCTAGCACCAATGGTTTTGGTTTTCTAGTGATTATCCTCAAAATGCTGTATCTCTGTTGTTTTCTGATGGCAATGTCAAGGAAAGTTCCTAAACTTGAGAATAAGTCAAAGGGATGGAAGCACCTCCCTCTAATATCCTATAAACCACTTAATTGTCTGATGGAATGTACATTCATTCAATGTGTTGTCTACTTCTGGGTAAAGTTCTACATTTTGTGAAGTTACATGTTAACTTACAAATTTTGTCTAGTAAATGCAAACAATTTTCAACAGAAATGATAACTCCAAAGATGTATCTTATTGCCCAATATGACATTAACCGGTTTTATTTCTAACATAAACTTACTCCAAAATATTTTTTTCAATGCCCATATATCCCTTATTCTCTTAATTCTCCTAGAATTATCTAGATTTACCATTCTGCTGGTGTGTGTGTGTGTGTGTGTGTGTGTGTGTGCGTGTCTATGTCTTATTTGTAGAATTTCCTCTCACCTTTCCCTTCATGATTTTATTTTCCTTTCAGCCCATCGAAATGCTTGGTGCCAGTATTGCTCAAAAGCACAAATATACTCTCAGGATCAGGCTACAAGTGAAGTAAATCCAGAACAGCTTTTAAATATGTTTACCGTCTTTATCACAGAGACAAAGTACATTGCTGCTCAGATCTCTGAAGCTGGTCCCACCAGTTTCTGCGGGCTGAGAGGGCCAGCACTCTGACAGAATCTGCCTTCCAGCCCAGACTGCCCTTCCTGGGCTTCTTTCCCAGCCCATTTAAAGTAAAACAAACCCGGGGCTTTACGTTGTCCATCCTCTGCGTGATGAGCAAACATTAGGTACAGCTGTAAGAGCAGGGCGTGAATGGTGTTTCAATCCAGTTGGAGGAAAAGAATGATGAAGCAAAGGAGTTGAACAGAAATCTCTCCAAATTTCCTTATTTCTCTGGCCTTTTGTTATTCCTTTCCTTTATCTGGGGTGACCAACTGTACTCTTTCTCTGCCCCTTATCTTGTTGAACTTCCCACTTTTTTCTTTTTTTTTTAAATGGGACCAAACTCGGGTCCTTGCACTTGAGAGGCAGGTGGTGGCACCACTGAGCTAAATCCCCGGCCCAAACTTCCCACTCTCACCATGTAGAAATATGAAACGGTGCAAATCTACCCAAGTTCCAGTGCTACTGGAGGTGGAAAATACTGTTACTGAAGTTAAAAATAGACGGGAGAAATCTCAGCCTCTCCCCTTTTTCTCATTTACCTTCTTTTTCTCTTCTCCTTCCTTTGTCTCTGTTCTTTTTCCATAATGTAAAGTCTCTTCATTAAACGATTTCTTTGTGACTAATTCTACCCCTTAATTTTCTAACATTCATTCTTGACTTTCAAGGGGACATTCACTATTTTCCGTGACATTTCTTAGGATTCAATGGACATAAGGCAATTTCTTGGTAAGTCCAGATAAAGGGTATCAACAACCTGACCTTGCTCTCAGAAGGTGCTATGGGGCTCTGTGTTCCACACAGGGAATGAAGAAGTGAGCATGGGGTGGGCATATCTTCCCAACAAACTGGAGGTGTCCTGCACAGGTATGAGATGCAGTCTCTAGTTTGGAGAGAGGCAGGAGGCCCCAGCTCTTGGCCTGATCAAGTCTGCTCAAGTGGTGAAACAGAGCGAACCAGAATTTCTCCTGTCTGCTGACATCCAATGAAGGATCATATTCCGTGGGAACAGCTGAGTCAACTGCAATTTGAACCTACACTTTAACAACTCCAGAAAGATCCAGAACAAGTAGGGTGAAGACAAGAGGTACTGTCAGCAGCATTTGTGATAGTACATTGTGCCA